AGTGTCCCTTTCATGTAATTCTGAGAAGAGATGAATAAATAAATCTCCCGTGTGCTGCGCCTGGCAGTCTCCACAGGTGGTTTTCAAAGCAGATGCTGCCTTGGATGGGGCTCTTTATTCCCTGATGTTTTGCTTTCCTCTGGGGAGACTGGATTGGGTTGGAGAGTTATAGGGAAGATAAAATAAAGAGCTGGGGCAAGGGAGCTGAAAGAGAAACCGACCAGGAATCTCCAAGTCATAGATTCTCTTTATCCATTTTCACCTAAGCTGAAAGAGAGCTGTTCCCGCCTGGCATTCGCAGCCCATCAGTGAGCTGTTACTTGTTTGTTTTTAAATCCACTGGGTTTGGTTTGGTTTTATTATCATCTCAGTCTAATCTTTGAATATTTACTAAAAGGTTTCTGTATTGTCCAACTACCAACTGCTTGGTAGTTACCCGGGGAAGCTGACTTGTCCGATGGTTTCCCTTCCTGTGCTGGGCAGTACTGATAACAGAGGGTGACCCGTCCTGGGCTTCAGGTCACAGAGAGCTGAGGTTCACTTCTTCAGGGGCCTTTCCCCAGAAATGGTATTTGAGTGGACTTGGAGGTTCCCCTGCAACCCATCTCTGAAAATGTTGTCAGGGTCCCAAACTGGTTCATTTAGTCTTAAATTCATGTCATGAAATCTATGTCTGTCCATCCTAATTCAGTCTTTTTTGAGATGTGAAAAGGAGGGTAGAGATGAAATCCTTCTTCATCTCGCTCACGTGACATTTACCCTGAAAGGCTGGCATGGCCCTGCAGGCTGGCTTCCCTGCCTGCCCTGGGTGTTATCCACAATATTCCTGAACTTGGAGATCATAGGGAGAAGAGATGAATCACTTTTTTGTGGTGGCATTTCTCAGACAGCTTAATTGAAGTACCCCCTAAAGCAAAAATCTGAAGACTTGAGCCCCCAATATTTCAATTTCCAAGACCCTTTCCCATTTAGAGACAGCTGGGTCTCACATCCATATCTCTGTGACTCATGGAAAATCAGAGAAGTTCACAGGGTTCCTGTGAACTAGAGTTTGGAGGATGGTGGCCATCGTCATCACACGTCCTGTCAAATTAGACTCTGTGAGCGGCATTGTGAGGAACAGAGTCATTCAGTACGTATGCTGGTAACATTTTACCAAAAGCTGAGAAATGAGACTCTGAATAAGCAGTATCATCTCAGGCCTTGTTATTCACAGGGAAGAAAACAGCTGTGATGGACATAGGGTTCTCAGGATCCTGATGGCAAGATTCACTCACTGAGCAGTAGCAGGCGTAATATGACAGAAAGTAACATGGTACAGCCAGTCCTTGATTAAACTAAGAGTGACGTGGGCTTTGGAAGAGAGGATTGGACGTAGCCTCCATCGCAGTGACTACACAGCCCCCCTGAGGTTCTCTCAGGCTTACCTTTGACTGTCTTGGACACCGAGATGGATAGTTACAAATTGAATGTTAACCAGGAGCATTTCTTGGAAAAAAATGAAAAGCACGCAAATGTAATAGACTGTTACCAAGAATCAACCTAAGTTTCTATGCTCTTTTTTTTTTTCTTTCATGAGACATAACCTTATAGCTGAGCTAAGGAGAGACGAGGCCCACAGACCCAAATGCACACAGACCCCGCTGTCAGCAGCTCAGCTTAGAGCTTCTTCCATTCCCCACTTGGGCTTCATTCTCTAAGACCCCTTGGCCTTTAGGAAGGTATAGTATTTAAGTAATACTTCTTTCCCTTCCAAATCCCCAAGCCTCGGTCCTCCTAAGCCAGGGGTTCTCAACCTGGGTCGGGACCCACAGGAACTGAATTAAACGGCCGCGGCATTAGGAAGGTTGAGAACCACTGTTCTAAGCTGAGAGGTGTCCAGGATCTAACACCCTCTTTTCTTGGCTCACATGCTTCTTTTTAAAATCATGATGAGGTTGGAAATCCTGTAAGATCTGAAGAGGGAGGTGATTTAGCTGCTCTTTGCATGCACTCCTGCAAGGAAACTCTTGGCTACATAATTTTAGATTCCAAGGGTGCCTAATATCCTAGTATAAATAGCTGAGAAGTACTCCACATGCAGACCTTGTGT